TGGTAACGTGTCGGCCTCTCATCCGAGGGGTCGGCGGTTCGCGCCCCACCCAGGCGCGAGATGTTGCAATTGTTGCCTGGAGGTTACTGCTGTGGCTGAGCACCACGGTGGGTAAGGACTAAGCTCATCCGAATCAGCACCTGCTGACACACTGTTAGTGAGTCGACATTAGTCGGCACAGGCCAGGCTCCCCCATAGCCCGGGCGAGGCTCAGGTTCACGTATCGGACTTATCCTTATCCTAGGCGCTTGAATTACTGCACCACTGTTGCTACTGTGATACTTTCAATTGCCATTTCAGTGTTAGTTTTCATTTCTGTGTGTGTGAGTTAGTCTTTTAGACCACTTCTTTTAGGTTTTCCATAGTAGGTAATCATATGTTGTCTTATGATCTTGAAGGCCACACTACTTTTAGATATGTGTTAAAAAAAAATGCAGGATGTCCATGATTTCGATACAGCACACCATGTTATTCCAGTTTTTTTGAAGGTGCAAGGGTTTTTCATGAAAATGGGACAATTTTTATTACAGTACATTCTTCTGTCTGACTGTTAACCAAGAATGCCCACTGTATTTTTGATTTATTACTTTATTTACACAAATGGCTTCAGAGGCACCTAGTCCCCAAGGAGTCAGTTACTAGAAATACCTAACCTCACCTGTTTTCCCCATTCCTTGAATTTTCAGAAAACACTTTTTTTATTATAATAGAGATAATTCTGTTCTTGATAATGTTAGTGATGATGATAATATTAACAGAATTGAAAATTTTATTTTCCTGGATATTCAAGGAATAAGATAAACATGTACAATCAAGTAATCCATGTCACTCACTTCCTGATGATTAAGAACAAAATTACCACAGAAGACTATATTCCTGGCACTAAGAGCTTTATATACTCACTAAGGCAGAATTATGATTCATTAGTTGCAAGTAGTTGCATAGCAACCCAATACAAAATCTATTCTAACATGATATAGGATCACAGTTTGAACAGATGCTAAATATGGTCTATTATTAACAATACTGAAACAGTGTAAGTCATTTCTATATCTCAAATATTGAATGCACATCTAAAGTCCATAGTTATGTGTAATGAATACTGCATGTATTATAAACCACAATTAAGGACCTTAAATCATAAATTCTGTTATATCACTTTGTATTTTTTAAAAGCAATGACCTGTTTATATGTTAAAGTCTCTTGTACTTACTCTTTTGTCTATCCTTGATAGCATTTTTCCCATTATTTTAAAAGTAGTTAAGTGATACTTAAACTTGTGATTTAGTCATGTCCCAAGGCTGTGAGGTCAACTTGTTTGATTGGCCTTGATGGAAAAAGAAACTAGAAAATGAGAAATTTACTTCGAAGAATGACTGATTTCATATTAATGGACTTGCAATGCACAAACTTTACTTATAGTACGTGCGATTTTTGTGATCACTACTCTTATTTTTATGATAATTTTTTAAAGCATGATAAAAGACAAAAAGAGTAATGCATTGATTGTGTGCACGTTAAATCCACCTCATCCATTCTTTGTAATGGTAGTTGTATATCTGCATTTTAATATTCTTATGGATTGTTTTTGTAATGCTCAAAAGCATGGAAGAAACTGTATTTATGAACCATGTACCCCTCAATTTTGCATTTTTGCAAAAGGGCTCTAGTATTTTAAGTCATTTACTCATTGGTGCCAAGAGTGCCTATGTACATGCACTGTACTATGCTATTGTTTTATTGATTTGTTAATGTACAGGTGGCTTTTTCTTTTTACACCCCCCCATCCCATGCCCATTGTTATTGTGGGGGGCAGAGAAGATGTGAACTGAGGTTCAGTATTGGGGATCAGCTCTACCTTGGGCCTCAGTCCTTGGCTCAACTGGTTTTGCATTTTTTTTCTCTCTCCTTTTTTTTCTTCTCTTCTCCAACTCCTTCTGCCCACTTCCTAAGATGTAAGAGCTGTGCTGAAAGGATGAAAAGCTTTGTCAGTCCTGAATGGCTTTGGAGAGCCATGGGCTTGGTATTCACCTGCTCAGTTCTCTAGCCTTACCCCTCATTGGGACCCATAGGGGTAGACTTTCTCTTCCGAACATATTTTGGGCTCACCATAGCCACTGATAAAGATTCTGTACCTTTATTAGGGGCATTGGGACTTGCCCCACTATCAGCTATCTGAAATTTACGTCTCTGGTTTCCTGATCCTTGATGTTCCTTTGATCACGGCTCTGACCGCTGCTGTTGCTACCCCCTTCTCGATGATTGCTGACAACTTAATCCATTCCAAATCATTCACCAGGTCATTACTTAACCTTCAAAACACATTCCTTCCTCTCTCCCAACATTATCCATTCCATCTCCTGCACAGTCCTCTTTATATTCTGCTCCCTCCTCTTCATCCTTATTGTCCTTCTTCCTACAGTACTACCTCTCTCTACCTTTCCCTCTTCCTCCCATTCTATGGACTCGACCAATCCCCTTATCTGTAAGATTCAGAACTGGTTGTTCTACCTGTCCATCCGCCATAAATCTATCAGATTTTGCTGTGCCCCCAGCCATGTTGGAATACCCAGCAATGAACAGACAGATACTCTAGCTGTTCTGCCACAATGTCCACATCACTTCAGGTTTCTCACATATTCCAGCCACGGATTATTACCGCCACTTTAAGACCTTCCATTATACCAGATGGCAATTTTTCTGGGCAAGTCTTCACACTAATAAATTATATACTGTAAAACTATCAATCTCCTTCTGGTCAGCTCCATTTCAACGGAACATACGTTGGGAGATGGCTCTTACGCACTTACATATTGGCCACATCTGTCTAACACACTCCTATCTGATGTCACATTCTGATCCGCTCCTGTGTTCCTTATGTAATGTCCCTCTTTCAGTTCCACACATTCTGTGTCCTGTCCACACTTTGCTGCAGCCCTTACCTCTGATTTCCCCCATCTACCCTTCCCTCACCGACCTCCCAACCTATCAGACATCCTTACCGAATCCCATACTTTCTGCTTCGACCACCTATTCTCCTTCCTCAGAGCATGCATATCCTTCACTTGATCTAGTCCCCCTTACCAAATCCTACCTTAATCCATTCTCTCATTAACTCCTTTACCCATCTTTAACTTTTCCAATATTACTCTAGATTGTTTACGAAAAGTAACTAACTACTAACCCAACCGCCCTTCACTACTCTTTACTCCTTTACTTCCTACAGTGTTACATGACCATAGTGTCTACCACATTTATTTTTTGCTTTTAACCCTTAACCATTCTCAGACCATACCCAACTCTCTTTCAGAAACTCTTGAAGACATTCAAACTTTCTGATCATGACCCCCCAAAATATGCCTATCTTTCACCCACCCTCCAATCGCTCTGCTCCCATTCCTTTTACACTGCAGACATCCATCCTCCTCCTCCATGTTCTCCCTACACCCTTTCTTCCCATTCACTCCAAACACGCCCCATCCCCCCTGCTCTATCTCCCCTTCCTTCCCCGGTATCTCTTCCGCTCCTTGGATTCACACGTGACTAAATTTTGTCACAACGATACCCTTCCCTGGATCCTCCTTTCCTGACGTGCCTCCTGACTTCACCGCCTCCCTCAGATCCCTTGTCTCATTCCCCGAATTCTTTGCCTCCTACTTCTCCGACATCTAATTTCACCCTTATTACCATTGATTATTTCATAATAGTTCTACACTGGAATATTCGCGGTTTCCGTTATCTCAGACTTGCATCCTAAAGTTGATCTAAACGTTCTTAACCTCCTATCCCTTTGTTGATAACCCTTACCTACAATCCTGAAGTGCTGGAAGACTTTGGACATGTAGCTCATTTAATCATAAACTTACCCCCCCCCCTTCTGTACCCTTTTCGCAAATATACCTTCATGACATTTGATGTCTAGCACATTAACCATTGCTACCATTATTGACATGGCAATAATGGTAATGATATCAATAGTAATAATAACAATGATCGTATGGATATTTTCTGACACAAGAATTCTTCTAGACCCATCAGTGTGTAAAACAAAATTATTGAAACAGTGTATGTATCCAGCGTCAGTGAATCAATTTCTTCGATGTTTTCGTGTTTGTTTTCTTTCCTCATACATTCCCAACTATGTTGACATTGTTGTAATAGTATAATACTGATTTATCTTTTACACTTTTACTGCAAAAAATGTGTATATCGACATTGTAGTTTGTACCATTATGTTTTCATTGCCATCGTTATTTTTCATTACCATTATGAATTCTATAGAATTCTGAGACGAGAAGTCTCTTGTGTATATACTATTTCAGCCTGCACTTCCCTTTGATAAGAAAAAAAGTTTCTTTGTGTCCTATCAAGCCTTTCATTATCCTGAAAGAAAAAGTTTTATAATATAGGTAATTTTGAATGGTACTATAACGATTTCCCTATGGATGTATAGCCAAGAGAAAGAGAGAGAGGGACGTCTTTTATTAAATTTAATAACTGGTATAATTTGTACTTCCTTTTCTCTACCATCTGCCTACGCCCCACAAATATGTCAGGTATTGCTGGGTACCCTGCCATGTCGGAAACATTGGCAATGAACAGGCAGATACTCCATTCCGTTTTAATGTACTTCAGCTACGGATTATTAACCCCACTTTAAGACCTTCCTATATGCCCAACGTCAATCTTTCTGGTCAAGTCTTCTTACCATAAAATTACATGCTGTAAAACTATCAATATCTTTTTGGTCAGCCCCATTTCACCAGAGCAAACGCTGAGAGACGGGTCTTGCCCGCTTGCGTATTGGCCATACTTGCCTAACGCACTTCTGTCTCATGTCACTCTCTGACCCGCCCCTATGACCTCTTTGTACTGTTCCTCTTTCAGCCCCACACATTCTGTTGTCCTGTCCATGCCTTACTTGCTTTCCCTCACCTATCCTCCCTTCACCGATCTCCCAACCTGTTAGATATCCTTAGGGAATCCCACACTTTCTCCTTTGCCAACCTGTTCTCCTTCCTTAGACGCATGGATGTACTTCACTTTATCTAATTCCCTCTTTACATATTCCAACCTTAACCCATTTCCTCATCCTCTCCACCTTTATCCATCTTTACCCTTCCCAATACCATCATGCTGCTGTACGACTTTTGGCGTGTAGCACCCAATCATTAACTCACCCCTCTCTTTACCCTTTCCAACATCATGCCTTCCTACTGTGGTACATGACCTTTGATGCCTAGGACATTTATTTTGCTTTTAGTCATTAACCATTAACTTTTCTCTCTCCTTTCACACAGTGTTGAACTGAAAGATTTTATATATATATATATATATATATATATATATATATATATATATATATATATATATATATATATATATATATATATATATATATATATATATATATATATATATATATATATATATATATATATATATATATATATATATATATATATATATATATATATATATATATATATATATATATATATATATATATATATATATATATATATATATATATATATATATATATATATATATATATATATATATATATATATATATATATATATATATATATATATATATATATATATATATATATATATATATATATATATATATATATATATATATATATATATATATATATATATATATATATATATATATATATATATATATATATATATATATATATATATATATATATATATATATATATATATATATATATATATATATATATATATATATATATATATATATATATATATATATATATATATATATATATATATATATATATATATATATATATATATATATATATATATATATATATATATATATATATATATATATATATATATATATATATATATATATATATATATATATATATATATATATATATATATATATATATATATATATATATATATATATATATATATATATATATATATATATATATATATATATATATATATATATATATATATATATATATATATATATATATATATATATATATATATATATATATATATATATATATATATATATATATATATATATATATATATATATATATATATATATATATATATATATATATATATATATATATATATATATATATATATATATATATATATATATATATATATATATATATATATATATATATATATATATATATATATATATATATATATATATATATATATATATATATATATATATATATATATATATATATATATATATATATATATATATATATATATATATATATATATACCATTAACTTTTCTCTCTCCTTTCACACAGTGTTGAACTGAAAGATTGTTTTTAACCCTCATTTTAACAGTGTGAACTTTCATGTATTGACATCTAAAATAGAAATTAACTATTTGTATTAATTTATTGATTTTTTGTGGGTATATCTTGTTCTGCACAATTATGCAATACTGTCTGAGATACCAGTGCATGTAGTTTATAAATAAACAGGTAAAGATGTACATTCTTACTGATATTACACAGCAGTATAAATAACATTAATCTTTTTTTAATCACTGGCAGTTTTGGTGCAAGATATGCACGTATCTGATAAGACAGCAAATATGCTACTGCTATATTTTTTCTAAGCATATACTTATAGGGAGAAGTCTGGGAAGTTGTAATTATAACCCGAAGATTAAAGTTTGACTCGTGTATGTAACCTATTATAGGTTAGACTCCACCCCCGTGACAGAAGTATGTGTGGAATTATTGTGAACCAATTATATTGTTTACATTCTGCTTTTGTCCATTATACTGCAATATGAAATATCAGTATTTTGTTTTATTAACCAAAATTAATCATCTAGTAATAATGCATCGGAAAGAAGCAGTAAAACATTATATGGGGCAGAATGCACTCACATTTACTGTAAGATAGTTTCAACGTGTACCAAGATAGGTTTCGTTAAGGTACTGCTATCCTATCAATAAAGAATTAAGCATAAAGCTGGTCAAAACACAAATGTCGCCTTGTTCACCAATGCCATAACGACATAAACCATAACTACAAGTGGAGAGGGAGCAAAGACACGAGAACCTGAAGCACCGATGAGCTCTATTGCCGTTTGCTTTCAAGAGAATCAGCACGTGTTGATTAATCAAATATTAATTTGATTTTCTTCTAGTACCAAGGAAATAAAACAATAAAGAAAAGGTAATCATTTAATATGCAAAAGATACATTGCCATTCCGGCAAACAAGGCATATTATGACTATCGATCCACTGCTATACTATATGTGTATTGACGAAACGTGCGATACAATAAAATGTCATGGAAAAATATGTCAACAATTCATTTCAGATGGAAACATGATCTAAATCGTATGATAGAAGTAACTGGTGTAATATTTTAAATGTGAGGGAATATATATATATATATATATATATATATATATATATATATATATATATATATATATATATATATATATATATATATATGTATATCACTCACAAGCTGGTGATGACCAGGAATAACAATCAAAATGATGAAACATCATAATGAATAACTTAAACTTGTAATAAAATTACCGGAGAAAATCAAACAAAATTACGTGTGTGAAAGACTCAACTCCAACAATTAAGAGGACTGTTTTTGAACGACAGGAAACCCACGAATTGGAGAAAATTATATAATCTAGAAAAAAATCAGGGTCCATCACCGTGGTCCGCCGTGAACATTCACTCTTCAACATTCAAAGACACATCTAGGTGAAAAAGAGGAAATATTAAAAAGAAAATACGGTTATAGCATATCCTCGCGCAAATGATATGTTTAAAATCAGACAAATAATAACCTGCTGCAAAATGAAATGCAAAATGAGAATGCACGGTCAAGTTGTATTCTGAAAGGAGAGAAAAATAAAAATAATCACAAGGAGATTATTCTGTTTGCCGAGGAAGTCCCGCTCCCTCAGCCTGCATCTGGAGAGGCCGTAGCAACTTAAGTCCTGCAGATGCGAGCCCGGATGTCCATTTAGCTTACTGTCGCTGGGCAATGTCTCGCCATCACAACGCCAACCGGTTCACAACATCGCGGAAACACGCCAAAGAATGTCATAGCAGATTTACGGTATTCTTTTGAAGTATTAAAAAAAAGGAATTTCTTCCTTAACATTACTGAAATATGAAAGTTTTCTGCTATAGAGTGAATCAAAATGCTCTCAAATACTTGGAGAAAAACAAATCAATCTCCGTGGGGTTCAGATTGAACCCTTTCAGAGGTATGCGAAAGCTAATAAAAAAAGAAAAAAAGAGAAAAGAAAAAATGTGTGTGTGTGTGTCTCTCTCTCTCTCTCTCTCTCTCTCTCTCTCTCTCTCTCTCTCTCTCTCTCTCTCTCTCTATCTATCTATCTCTCTCTCCCTCTCCCCCTCTTTCTCTCTTAACACACACACACATATATATATTACATAAGTTGATAAAATGTATAACCAAATGGACATAAAACTATATGCAGTACAGTCGAGGAGATGGATTTCATGGGGTTTCTCATTAGTCGAGAGTCGTCAAAAAGTAATTTAACAAGCGAACTCCATTTCACTTAATGGTGACAAAACCTCCATGGACAGTCATGAATCTATGTCAATTTTGCAAGTTAAGCAGAAAACGTTGATTCGCAAATCATACGCAAAACAAGCTACTTCTCTGTTTATATGTACGGATGCACCAAGTATTTGTGTGGCCATTCGTGCTCTGGCATAGCGATATCCCAGGAGCTAAACACTGGAGGCCCAGCCTTCTCTCTAAAAACAGTAACAAAATATTTACTGTTACACATTTTAGATAAACCTGTTCGATTATTTGCTTCCGTTTCATATATCAGATTCATAAGAAAAGACCGAATATCATCAGCCGTGAGATATGAGCCATTTGAAATAAAACTATAATCTAAATACTTCATTACCGGCGGCTGCTACAAGCATTTGCCATGGCAGAAACTTGACTCAGTTTTTCTGCATACGAATAAATCAGTAAAACAGGTACATTAAGACCACAATCTCGATTTTTGTGCGATCTCTCTTTTCAGATCCAATGTACTGAAGTATACGCTTACTTATTTTCTGGGAACATTTTCCGCTTAAAAAAGAAACAGAAATGTCAGTGCCAGCCATTTTAGAAATGTTTAACACTTGAACCTGCTGTTCAGTGTAACCTTCCCCCTCTCGTTCGCCAAGTCATCGTTAGGTCAAGGCAGCCATGGAAGCAAATCAAATGGCAGGTCACTGACACCACAAACAGCTTCACTTCACCGCCTGCCGCTGATCCAGCAGTGCGACTTTCGCCACCACAACATCTTGTCCACTTTCCATATCTCCTCCAATCCGGCTCTCCGCCGCCTCCCTTCCCCTTCAACTCTGGCGGATGTGACCTCTCTTCCGAGCTCGGTCTCTGATCGAGACTCGGGGCATGACCGCGCGGTGCTCTTGGTGACTCCCTCCCGAGCTCGTGCGGTTCATTAGCTGATTAAACATCTTCGAAACGCTGAGTTTACGGAGCCTTGGGGACGTCTGGCCCTTCAGTTGAGACACTTGGCGCAAGAGGCCGTCGATCGAGTCGTTGACCTGTGGAAAGACCGCAAGGAATTGATATATATATTAATTCAATTCTGTATTCACACTTTTCTTTATTTTTTTTCATGATTATCGTGGAGTATTACCCTTAATTGCGATGGGGGTAATGGCCGTTTGATTATGTCATCCCTCACATGTTCTGTATTTTAATTAGCTGGAGTGCCAGAGAGTCACAAAGCTTGCCATTTGGAGGCCATCTAACTCATTAGTGGTATGAGGGCGGTTTCCTTGCTTATAGAACTTCATAAAAACACTCAAACTACATCTACGCAAATCCACAATGTATGCAAATATGTGATCTTATTAATGAATGCGTCTTGTATATGTGCACATATGCCTTTATGACT